CCCAATTGGTGCCTCGGGAACAGCTCGAGGGCCGACTGGTGGTGGTGTTGGCGAACCTAAAGCCGGCAAAAATGCGCGGAATTGAGTCCAAAGGCATGATTCTGTGCGCGTCGACCGACGAGCCCCGGCAGGTGGAGCCCCTGAACCCGCCGCCCGGTAGCCAACCCGGGGAGCGGGTCTTCTGTGAGGGCTATTCGGTGTCCGATTCGGTGCCCGAAGTGTTGAATCCAAAGAAGAAGATTTGGGAGAAACTCCAGACAGAGATGAAGACATCGCATAACGGTTTGGCCGAATGGAGTGGTAATCCGTTTGTTACCACAAAAGGTCTCATAACGTGTAAATTGATGACAAACGCGCCAATCAAGTGATGACTACTTTGCCGATACTTATGTATAGTTTTGTTTGTTTTTTAATGAATTACTTTTTTGTCAATTTTTAAGTGAATTAATAAATAAATATATTTATGAGATTAATATGTGTTTTATTAATACCGGTATTGAATTTAATAGAAACTTAATTGAAAATGATTAAATACCGTAGTTTTTACTTAAACATTAGTAGTTTTAAGAATTTGTTCAAACTTTTTGTGAATTAATGACAAAAATTTAAATAAAATTCCGCTTATTATCATTGATATGGAATCTACCAGTTATGACACCAAGTGTTAAATAATGGGTATAATTGTTATCCAGTATAATACTGCTTAACATTTCCGACACTGGTATGAAAAACCCTATGATTACTATTTTACGGCACCCATAGGTTGTGGTAAGACCACCGGCCACCTGACCTAAACAGTGTTCACACTGAATATTCTGATACTAAGTTAGTATAAGTAACGGTATTGAATTTAAAGGTAGGAGTACCGGAGAAATACATCATTCCCATCATAATGAAGTCATATATAAAAGTGATTGCCTTTGACTTGCGGTATTCTGTGAGGAATTTAGCGTAAAACAGACCTGAAGTACACAGGAATCCATTGTCTATAAGACTGATCATAAACGATCCAGATACTACAACCCAACCCCAGGTAAATTTACCATCCGGTGCCTTACGATATATCATAAGAATAAGACTAATATGTGTTTTATCAATAAACTATTTTATAATTTACTTTTTAAAGACTTATTAATTAGATGTATATCAAACTCTAAGAGTTTTCTGAATTTGTTTAAATTTGTTTTTGTGAATTGATGGCAAAAATAAAAGTAAAACTCGGTTTTATTTTTATGATAAAATGACTTTTTTTAACAATTTTTAGTGAATGCATAATAAATATATTTATTTATGAGATAATATTTATTTAGTTAAATATTGTAGTCTATTAACATTATTAATAATTGTTTATTAGCTTAAACCCTGTTTAAACTTTTTGTGAATTAATGGCAAAAATAAAAATAAAACTCCACTTATTATCATTACTATAGCTGTTATCCAAAAGCCTGTCGTATATCCAGTCTTCGCATCAAAAGTTTTTCCTATATTTGAGAAATGTTTCTATGAGAAATAGTTAATTAATAAATAAAATTAATACCTATAAGTGGTGGTCCTATAAAGTTGGAAATACCTATAATCAATAGAATGAGTCCGAATGCATTGGTTATCCTTTCCATGCCAAACAAGTCCACCACAACTACCGGCAATAGAGTAATAAAAGCACCTGGAGTATAATTGTAGTTTAGATTAACGGTTGAATACAATAATACAAGTATTCATATTTTAAGGCAAACCTTCAGCCAAACCGAAAATAATAATTAAAACGATGAGAAGTGTATAGTTTTGTCCGAAAGCAGCGATCAAACCAATGGCCACACCGTATGACAGGAAAGACAGACCGAAGAGTATAATACGATTAAGTGATAGAAAGTCTGCGATATATCCGATGAAAGCTCTGCCGAAAGCGTTGGAGAGACCGAAGAACACCATGAGATTGACGGCATCCCCTCCCGTTCCCATTCCTGTCTTCACGACGTGGTCTTTCAGGAAAATGATGGGCACGTAGTAGACGGCGCCGCACAAGAAGATGACGAAAGCGAAGTATACGAACACCACATCCGTGAGGATACGGAAGTCAAAGGTCTCAGTGAGGGCTGTCTTGAGGTGACTCTTCTCCTCCATGTAATCCACTTTCCGAAAGAGCGACGAAAAGGCGACACAACTGAACATAAGGCCCGACAACAGAAGCATCGCTCCCTTCCAGCCGTACGTCTCTATCAAGTGATCCGACAGTAACGCGAATATAGCTATTCCTATACCAGACCCGCAAACGCCTATCCCTGTGGCCAATGCTAAATGTTTGTCAAACCAATACGTGACTATCATTACTTTTGGTAAGAATAATAAACCCAGACCTGTACCTACCCGTCCCAAAAAAATCATTGTTAGAAAGGGTTATAAAAATTCATTATCAGTTATTGAATCAAATGAATTACCAGTTATGACACCCAGTGTTAAACAATGGGTATAAATGTTATCCAATATAATACTGGTTAACA